TTAAAAATAACCCAGTGTATCCAGGTGCTTTGATTAAAAATAACTAAAATTATTTTAGTGCACCAGCAAAGGGTTAAAAATAGACACCATAGCTAGCTATCAATAGCCGTTCTTAATGGTTTTAATATATTTAAAGAACATGTTTATAGGTCTGAGTCTCCTTGGAGCCTCATGGGTGATCCAAACACAACCAATGAAAATCTTCATATTACTTTAATTTCATTTTATGTGACTTTTACACAATGAGTTCCTCTAAAGGGTTCTCAGAAGAGCATGTCAGAGTAGAAACATCTTCTGTATGGTTTCATAAAGCAGGCATGATAATTGCTATGGTGGTTAAGGGAACATTTCCACAAGTTATTTATAGACTGGAAGAAGGTGGATGGAGAACTTCTGCAAATTTAGTGTTTCATCCAATGGATCTGAACATTTCTGAGAGGAATGACCTAAAAGATTCTTTATTTTAGTTTCAATGCACTAAAGAAGCATTAGTAGTCTTGTTGCTAACACGTCCCACTTTGTGTCTAAAGAACCCAAAATAACTATGGGTTATTATGGGTTCTTCCTCGCGCTGGGACTGCACGGCGTATGAGGCGCGTCCCCCGGGTGGCGGATGGGGGTACACCGCAAGGTGACGTGGACCAACGCGGTCTAGGGGAAGGACACCCCAACAGAAAACCACTGGTCCTCCAAGCATGGGGGTTGGGCAGAAGGTTAACCTACTCCTGGAAAAACAAACCTGTTACAGAAACAACGGACATCATATTGCAAAACAACCAGGGTGGAGCAGGGATCATGGCCGGCATCATGACGATGGTGGGTCAAAGCCTTAGGGAAGCCCAGCGTCCGACAAGATCTCTTGTGACACCCAAAAATGTTCTCACCATCAGACATTGGAATGTGAGAAGGAAAAGAGGCCGACCTAAAACAACTTGGCGGCAAGTGACTGAGGCAGAGAGAAACAGAGCAGGATGGTGTTCATGGAACTCAACAAGAAGTGCAGCTCGATCCCTGTGGAAAAATGATGTCCTTGCCTTATGTGCCTCCTGGCACAAAGAGAAATTAAAGCTGCAAGCAGCGTCGTTCGGCCCTCGCAGCTCCGCGCCGCTCCGGCCTGGCCGGCAGCCCGGGGCACCAGGGCACGTCTGGCAGAACAGAAACGTCAACCACCCCGACACTAGAAACCGCAAATGGCCTCCTAGTCCGCACCTCACCCTTACTCAGCATCCCCTCTGAGCTCACCATTAAATTGAATTGTAAGGTTGCGGCGTTACGCCAGAATTCGCCATGGCATCAAAGCCCCTCCCTTTCTGGAAAGCTATCAGATCTGAATGGTCAATACATTATCATGAAGACAGTGCATGACCTTGGTGTCATGTTGACTAAATTAGAGGGGACAAATATGGGCATTTCAGCATAAAAAAATAGACTTCCTGTAGTCAGGGGGCGGGGCTTAGGTGATGTCAGCTGTCCACATTGTCATTTTTTACAGATATGGTCAATGATCACACAGACAAAGTTTGAAAAAGATCCGATCTTGCACATGGGAGTTATTAAGTCAAGTAATGTAATGGCGAAAGGTCAAAGTTTGAGGCTTAGCCACGCCCACACCTTTCAACTTTTGAAAAATGCGACGGTTGAATTTTTTCCCCTACGTCTTAAGAGTATATAGTAGAAGTTTGAAAGTGATTGGTGAAAAGGGCGACGGAGCATCACTCTCCAAACAACGTGTGCGAAAACCACTAAATCGCGTACTTGGACCAAAATGGCCGACTTCCTGTGCGACTTTACGCTTGGCTCCAAGAGACTTTTTTGTAGGACCTGAGACCCCACATTAGTGTACCAAATTTCGTAATCTTCAGTCAAAGCATGGCTTGGGGCTATTAGTTTAAATGGTCCTAGGGGGCGCTATTTAAGAAAATAGGCCACGCCCACAAATTTCAGCTATGTTTGTCTCCTGGGGGTCAGACAAGGATCACTTAAAAGAAGTTTCGTAGCGCTATCACAATAACTGAAGAAATGAGAGGCAAACGTATTTCCATGATGTGATGGTGATTTTCGCCATGCTGCCAAAGCCCCGCCTTTACTCGAAACCTGCCAGTACTGGATACCAAGTGACCTCAAGTTGTCTACTGCTATTTGCCAGAGATTATTGGTGATTGGGTAAAAGGAGTCCAATAGGAAGCTGTGAAAAAAAGAGTGGTGTGGCGAAAGGTCAAAGTTTGAGGCTTAGCCACGCCCACACCTTTCAACTTTTGAAAAATCCGACGGTTGAATTTTCCCCCCCATGTCTTAAGAGTATATAGCAGAAGTTTGAAGGTGATTGGTGAAAAGGGGGACGGAGCATCACTCTCCAAACAACGTGTGCGAAAACCACTAATTCGAGTACTTGGACCAAAATGGCCGACTTCCTGTGCGAGTTTTTGCCTGGCTCCAAGAGACTTTTTTTTAGGTCCTGAGACACCACATTAGTGTACCAAATTTCGTAATCCTCAGTCAAAGCATGGCTTGGGGCTGACAGTTTTTATGGCTCTAGGGGGCGCTGTTTCAGAAAATAGGCCACGCCCACAAACTTCAGCTTTTTATTTCTCTTGGGGCTCAGACTAGGATCACTCACCAGAAGTTTCGTAGCGATATCACGATAACTGAAGAAATGAGAGGCAAACGTATTTCCATGGCATGATGGCGATTTTCGCCATGCTCCCAAAGCCCCGCCTTTTTTCGAAACCTGCCAGTACTGGAGACCAAGTAACCTCAACTTGTCTACTGCTGTTTGCCACAGAATCCTGGTGATTGGGTAAAAGGAGTCCAGTAGGGAGCTGTGAAAAAAAGAGTGGCGTGGCGACAGGTCAAAGTTTGAGGCTTAGCCACGCCCACACCTTTCAACTTTTGAAAAATCCGACGGTTGAATTTTTTCCCCTATGACTTAAGAGCATATGGCAGAAGTTTGAAGGAGATTGGTGAAAAGGACGACGGAGCATCACTCTCCAAACAACGTGTGCGAAAACCACTAAATCGCGTACTTGGACCAAAATGGCCGACTTCCTGTACGACTTTGCACTTGGGTCCAAGAGACTTTTTTGTAGGTCCTGAGACACCACATTAGTGTACCAAATTTCGTAATCCTCAGTCAAAGCATGGCTTGGGGCTGACAGTTTTAATGGTCCTAGGGGGCGCTATTTCAGAAAATAGGCCACGCCCACCGGATGTTCACATCAGATCTTTTGGGGGGCCGGACTAGGATCACTCACAAGAAGTTTCGTGATGATATTTTTAGAAATGACGAAATGGGAGGCAAACGTAAGGCCACGGCGGTACGCCTGACTTCGCCGCGCCGCCACAGCCCCGCCCTCTGTCGAAAACTCCCATAAAGTGACGCCAAGCAACCCTCATTTGTCTTGAGTTAACAGCTACAAATTTGTGGGGATTGAGTGAAATGGGGCCATTTGGGACCTTTCATAGTAAAACTTGACCTTTTAGGTCCTGAGGGGGCGGGGCTTGTGTGATGTCATCATCCGACCATTCATTTTACTTTGTGGGTAGATGACAAATGACCACAGAAAGTTTGGTAACTCTATTCCATTCAATTATGAAGTTATAGCAGTTTTAATTTTTTTGGCGAGTAGTCAAACTTCGAGGCCTGGCCCCGCCCCTTCAACATATACGAAAACTCAGAATCCTTGTCTCATTTTGTTCGGCCATTTCTTCTGAGCAATTTTATACCATTTTTGAGACGATCGTGCGAAAAATGATCGAGCAATCCAATCAGAAACTGACCCTAAAAACGGCAAAAACGGCCAAAAATCGCCATTTCAACCCAAAATGGCCGACTTCCTGTTTGATATTGACCATGCTTGCAAGAGACTTTTCTGTGCGGACTGTTGAGTACTACAAGTGTACCAAATTTCATAACTGTACGATAAACTAAGCTTTATGGAGAGGGGTTTTTTTCACATTGTAGGGGGCGCTGTTCAGCCATTTTCTTTGCGATTTTTTTGGGACCTTTCAAATATCAAATTTTTCACCAGGCCTGACAAGTTTGCAAAATATTGTGAGTTTTGGGGTATGTTAAGGTCCCCAAAAAGCCATTCAAAGGGGGCACGGAATAACAAAAAAAGAAAGAATAATAATCGGAGCAAAAACAAGAGGCCTTCGCAGCGCTTTCGCTGCTCGGGCCTAATGATGATAATTATGGGTTCTTCAGACACAAAGTGGGGCAAGTTGGGATAGTTTTTGATAAGTTTTGTTGATATTTAAAAAATGTCCAATATGATCAAACCGATATAAAGGAATTATTTGAAATATTGGTACATTTACATGATTTATTGTGAAGCCTTATTTTATTTGTAATAGATTTTGGTGCAGACGTGATTTTTAAAATGTGGTCCTGTGGTCTTCTGCGGGTCTTTAAGGGGAATCCACAGGAAAATCAGACTGTCACGCGCGTGTTGTCATGTAAAACTGGAGTAAGAAGGCGGTGTGGTGTTTTCACTGATGCAGGGTTTCAGTCTGTCGACTGTCTGCCTCCCAGCCTGCAGCACACGCAGACAAAAATACAGTGTAATAACACAACTCAGCACCAATCTGGTCCTTTAAAACACTAATTAGACTGGAAAGCGCATCCGTTTCAGCTGGTGTAATTCACTTTAAATCATCTCGAAGCAACAGGTCGTCCCTGCTGGCGGGATATTTCACAATAAGAGTAGAGAAATGACACTTTTACAGTAAAGAAAAACACACAAACAGATGTATTCCAGTGTTGCCCGGGCAGTGATGCGTGATTAATTGTGGAGATGTTTGCACTGCTGCGCAAAGCAAGTTTTAATCAACAAGAACAACAAAAACAAATTTGCTAGTGATTATGTTAAATTTATAACAAAATGTATTAAAGCGATAACAGGAGATTTCAGGAAATAGATTGGATCATATGAACTAACTGCAACGATGACGAAGGCACTGTTAAAAGGCTATTTAAAGAGAGTTATTGGGTGTTTGCTTACGTTTTCTGCACCGGCTTCTTCCGTTTCTTAACGGCGTACTGCGCCGCGCTCGGTAGCATGTTGAAGCTAGCGCACCAAAGCGTCTCAATCCCGGTATTTATCCACACGTAAGCAGGTCTGGACGGGTTCGGAGCTCGAACATATCCCGTAAAAGCCTGTGAATAGTGCTGAAAGCGGTAGAGATCCTCTCGGACTTCGCTCGTCTGCTACAACAGAAGTCTCAGGGGTTGTTAGTTTTCTTTCGCTCCAACAAACTGCCTGAAGTTAGCTAACTCTCACAGTTTGTGACATTCGAGTATCTGAAGTGGTTCCGCTCCGGTTTAAGGTGGAAAATCCGTCTGATATTAGATGAAAAAGTCCTTGGTGGACTTTTAAATCCGGAGTGAGCGTCGCCTCCGTTGAGATTTGACAGAGAAGCTACCACCGTCTCGCGCTCCAGTCATGTCTGAGTGCGTACTGTATGTGTCACTGTAACGCGAGAGCGCAAGACATTTAAGGTGGTACTGGGATCCTTCACCAGGAGACCTAGCGCAATCCAACTGGAAAGACCTTAAATAAAGTATACAAGTGATGGTTGCGCAAAATAGTTCAATTTAGAAAATCTTTACTTTCACAATAAATTTTTTTTCCCAAAAATAAGAATTCATGTTTGATCATTTACATGTAAAACTATCATTATTAATCTATTTATAAGACGACTTTAAATTTGCAAGTGGTAATTGAAATTAAATTATGCCACGTCCTAAAAAATATCATTGTCATTTATATGAAGCTAAAAAATCAGAATTAAAAAAATGCTGGATAAAAAAGTTATTAAATATTCCACTGTTCAGAAAACATCCAGCTTTTTTTCTTGACAAGCGAATAAAAAACTTTCAAGCACTACCGTTTTAAATAAAAGCTCTAAAAATGACTCTGAACGATAATTATAGAAAAAAATGTACTAAACAAATCAAATGTGACACATTTTCAACAACCTGTATTCAGATAGTTATTGCTGTGTTGCATCTTCTCATCCTTTAACAACAAAGTGTTGTTTTTGAGCCTCTTATTGTTTTGAAAATACAATATTTTATATAGGTCTATTTTTCTTGATTCTGAGCTAAATGAAAGCTAATAAAAAAGTTATTCCAAGCATGCACGCTAATTTGTGTCAGCCTTACACAGTCTGATCAATTTCTTTTCCATTACTTGCTTTTCTCCAGTGTCTCCAAGTGTTTTAATTAAAAGCAGTGGGACCACGTGGCTGGTTTTATTAGAAGATGGTATCTCTGTCCTCTGCAGGACTTTTCCAGCTCAACAAACCTGAGATTCCATATTCTTCACTGGGATTACCGCAAGTGTGATTGCAGAGCCTTAAAGGTGAGCACTTTTCTCAGTAGTGACATTTTCTCTAAATAAAAGTGCAATAAGTCACTTTTACAGGAGACAATCGGGTGAAGGCTGACTTTTATCTCATTTAGCTGAACTCTTTCTGCACTGAGGTGGTGTGTGTCCTCACTGAGTCCTCCCACGATCAAACAGGCTTTCATAGGGGATGTGAAGGATTCCTGTGAAGTTCATTGTAGCCAAAGTGAGCACCAAAAATCGAGGTGTTTTTATGGAGCGAACCCTGCTCCATCAAACTCACTTTGCTTAAGTTTCAGGATGGAACTAAACAAATAGAAGCCGATAGTAGTCAAAACGTCTGTTGAATACGAAGCAAAATAGCTTTTTTCTTTCTTTATTTATTTATTTTTTCACTTGTTTTGCATCCAAGATTCTCCTCATGGCAGCTCAGGTTGTGTAACACTACAGGCTTCCAAGACCATACCATAAAAAAACAAAGAAAGGGTCTGTCACGCTTCATGATACAAAACGTTCTGACAGAAACATTGAAAATGTGTGCTTCTCGTGGAAAAGAGCTTCAACAACATTCAATTAGTGGACTCAGATTGACCTTCTACAACACTGGAACTCAAATGCAAACTAGTCCAAGATGGACGTTTCAGGCTGTGATGCAGAACAGATGTTTGTGAACATTTCTGCAACATGAACAGAAAAAACCAAACTATGAAAGTTAATGAAGCAGAAGCCACATGCAGATGAGATTAATCGCTTTTATGAGCGAGCTGCAGGAGGTCATGGCCCTAATGATTCAACGAGGTACAAACAAGGTGCTATGAGCCAGGTTAGCAAACAAAGAGTGGGGATGAACAGGTGGAATGAAACCAGAGGTCAATCTGAGATTAGAGGTGGATGAGTGAGTATGTGAGAATGTCACGTAGGACAGGTGACAACACGAGGAATAACCAGACAGAATAAATAAACGGGTAGGCTCAGGTGGTACTAAGGGGTCCAAAGTGGGACAAGAACACCCCACCACCATTACAGCAGCAGCCTGAACCATTGGCCAGATAAATCCATGCAATCATGTTGGTGACACCAAATTTTGACTCAACTATCAGAATGTTGCAGCTAAAGTCCGGGCTCATTAGCCTAGTGAACTAGACCAAATTATTGCTTTGCAAAGTTCGGTCTAGGAACGCTCCACTGGAACCTCTGCAGCCCTTAACAGCATTCTGGCTGGCCAATCACAGCTCTCTAGAGGGGTTTCAAACACATAAAGAGCTGTGATTGGTCTATAATGGTGGGCCGATCTTAGTGCTCGATCTGCTTAGTGAACAAATCACAGAGCTTTATCCACTTTGTGGGCCAATCAGGGCACTCTGTATGCCTGGTGGGTGGGATGATGCAACCGAGTGAAACAAGATGGCGACAGCTCGTTTGAAACGGCTTTTACGTCAATTTTGGACTATTAGAACTTGGGCTTCATTTCAATCAGGAGCAGATAGATGGATTTAAGTGTTTTTCTTTTTAGAAAAAATGATAATTTTAGAAAAATGTGTTTTCTCCTTCTTCAACTGCGGACCGCCTCATTTACCGATGGCTGTTGCGGTGAGTAACAGTCCAGTTAATTGTCCAGTAGCACGCGGAGATCATTTGAAAGACAAAGGAAGAACCCGCCCCACAACCGAGAGCCGTCAATGGAGCGTTGCCAGACTAAATAATACATTTATTTAGTCTGGCTTGCCAGGCTACGGGCTCATTTGACCAGGAAAAGATTTTTTTTTCTTCTGGAGATCATGTGTAAATTGTTGCCTCAGGTTCCTGTTAGCTGACAGGAGTGACACCTGGTGCTGCTAGAGCCCAGCTGGAGCAGCTGGTCTGGTTAAGAGATGCTTTTCTGTGAGGAACAGTCAGTGGTTATTTGAACTTCTGTTGTCTTTCTATCAACTAGAAACAGTTGGACCATTCTCGTTAACTCTAGAGAAGGGTGTGGGTTCAAATCCCAACAGATTGGTTGTGTCTGAAATATTCAGAGCAAATGCGATGGTGGTAACTAGCCTAGAAATCTAAAAAAAAAAAAAACATAACAGCAACAAATATATTTTGCTCTGCAGTCTAGCAGTGGCGCAGTGGTTAGAGGTGTTGCCTTGCAGCTAGAAGGTCCTGGGTTCGTTTCCCGGCCTGGGATCTTTCTGCATGGAGTTTGCATGTTCTCCCTGTGCATGCGTGGGTTCTCTCCGGGTACTCCGGCTTCCTCCCACAGTCCAAAAACACGACTGTTAGCTTAATTGGTCTGTCTAAGTTGTCCTTAGGTGTGTGTGTGTGTGTGCATAATTGTTTGTCCTGTGTGTCTCTGTGTTGCCCTGCGATGGACTGGCTCTCTGTCCAGGGTGTACCCCGCCTGATTGCCCGTTGACCGCTGGAGATAGGCACCAGCCCCCCCGCAACCCTACATGGACAAGCGGGTTCCAAAAATGGATGGATGGATGGATGAGCGGTCTAGCTACACTCCACTGTAGCCTCAGCAGGTCTACCATTGGCTCAGCAAAATGTAGGCAGGGCCAATCACAGAGGTGTACTTTTGTAGAAAGATGTTGGGCAGGCTTAGCAACACCATAGCAGAGCTTTAAAAAAAAAAAAGACAATGGCAGAGCTTCCACGGAGAAAAACTACAAAGATGTCAGCAGCTCAGCTCTCTAATTCAGTAGCTCAGGGGGTAGAGCGGGATGTCCAGTAATCAGAGGGGTGTGAGATCAATCCCAGCTCCTGGCAGAAGAATGCTGCTGTGTGCTTGCGCAAACATTTGTTGTAAAGTGCTTTGTAGGGTTATAGGACTGTAGAATACGCTATATCAAGGCTATTTACCATTATTTTGAAATAGAACAGTCACTGTGTGTTTACGTGCGCATCTACTTAGATCGAGGTCAATCAAAAGAAATAAACTGGCAGCCTTCATCCTAGTTTACATGCACGTTAGAAAACTGAACCCTCAAAAGAAGTTTGTTCTACTCCGGTACATTAGGGGGTGGCATGTTTCCTTTTGTGTCGACATTCTTCCAGTTAGCTCACAAGGAGTCGCCTCTCTTTCCAGCTGGCTCAAGGAAGAACAACAAAATGAATGCAAGTCAATGGGGCTATAGAGCTATAGAGCTCTAAGCCATACTCCGCTGTGGATCACACATGAACAAAATGAGCCTCACAAACTGTCCGCTGTTGCAGGAGTCCAGGCTTTCTTCAGAGAATCTGGGTCATCCGCGATCGTCTCTTTTGTATTTTGTGGTCCTTCACAGCCTCCCCGAGCTAAACAACCAACCACAGAGCAAGAACGATCCATCTGCTGCGCTTAATCTTCTTCCAAACGTGCAAAACAATTGAATCATAGGCTAAATGTGTTGTTTCTTGCCACACAATCCTGTGATGCAATTCAGAAAATATAAGCATTGATGTCACAAAAAAGAAAACAAATGCTGACGCAAGTAAATCAGACGAAGTTAAAACAGGATACGCACAATGGCTGAAGGAATGGACAACTACGACGCTGCAGCACAGCTTAGTTGGTAAGCACTGTTCTGTTTGATGGTGCTGTGTGTGTTACTTTGTGTAATGATGAAATCAGAATAATGCTTTCACGGTCTTGTCACTTCCAGAAGTTACCTGTGTAGCGACATGAATGGCCTCATTTGTGACCCAAAGGTCACACCTCCCCAGCTGGGTCACGCTGTCCTGGCTCAACTTCTATCCACAGATTATCCGTTTCAGCAGACATAAAGTCTGCTGAAAACCATCTTTCATCTGACTGCTGTTCCGTCCCAAGATGGACACTTCAAGATTTAAAATAATCATTTTTAATAAACTCTTTTCACTGTTTATTACAAGGTTCATAAATAATCATCATAAATAATCATCATGGTTCATTATAAATGTATTTAATTACTGAAATGAATTATTATTCTTTGGTTAATAATAATTATTATTTATGATAATCAGTAATGTTTGATCAGTAACCAGAAGGTCATGCACACTTATACACACCACGCAGGACACTGAATCAGGTTAAAGGTGACCACCTCACATGTCCTTGCTCCTTAAGCAAAGCTTTCTATCTCTGAGAGGGTGTGTCCTGAGGTTTT